CACGCAAGCACAGGAAGAAAAGAACATGTAAACTCCTCACAGATAGTGTCCTGACCAGGGTATGAACTGGGGACCTCCAGTGCTGCAAAACAGAAGTGCCAACCACTACGCCACTGTGCTCACAAAAGGGACCAATCACATGAGTCTTGTTAATTCCTGCAGGATACTCATGCGATTTGCTGCGGCCAGGGGGTACTATACAATGACAACTGCCACTGTTCAGAGGCCATTTGCTGCACCTAACTGCGGACAATTGCACCAGGACACAAGCACTCTGGGGGGAATTTATCAAAACTGGAGCAGACAAAATCTAGAGCAGATTTGCACTGCAGCCAATCAGCTTCTCTCTCTCATTTTCAAATCTTACCTGAGCAAACTGAAGAGAGAAGCTGATTGGTGGCCATGGGCAACTGCTCCAGATTCTGTTTGCTCCAGTTATGATAAATTCCCCCGTCAGTGTCAGAGTGCGGTTATCCGCAGCTAATCGGAGCATGTGTGGTTACATGCGAACAACCGTCAAACAACTGCAGGTCGCAGCGGTCATTAAATACAATGCCTCCTACCTGCAGCAGATTGCAAGAGTCTCAAAGGGAAATTCCTAAGAATCATGTGACCGGCCCCTTTCGCAAGTGCGGCCTAAGACCATTAGGAGTCTAGCGACACATCTTTATTTAGAATTTCGTTGGCATCTTGCAGTTGCACGACATGTGCTTCAACAAAAAAAGGCTAAAAGCACAAACGTCCAGACGCCGAGCTTTTACAACGGAAAGCTAAATAGAAAGATAAAATAGAAAAATAAGAGTTTTACCTGCCAAAGGATTTCTGTTCCTATCCATCCATTCAGTCCTGAGATTTACACTGCTTTATCACAAAGCAAAGCCCTGTTTGGCACTGCAGAAGATCTCAGTTTTTACTACTGAATCTAAAGCCGGCTATACACGCTTCGTAATTCGGACGGTTCGCCCAGCTGATGAAACGAGCCAGTTGGAAAATACTTGGCTGAACGAAGCTAGCAGCTAATCTGCCGGCGGCCGCTGTCAGGGTAGAAATCAAACAGCAGGGGCTTATGAGCATTGATGGAGGAATCTGTTTTATTTTTTTCATCCAGTCTGCGGGTTGAACGAAAATAAAATGTACAAATTCAACTTAGCATCAGCTTCCCATAATCCCCCGCACAGCAAAACGATAGTCAGCGCTGTGTGACATTCAGGGCGCTATTGGTCTGTACGGTCCAACACTGTGAACATGCTGCTGCTCCTTCACTGTCCAATCAGCAGGCTGGAGGGGAAGGGGAGGGGGGGTACGGGCGAAAACATAGAAAACAGAACTTCAGCAGCCATTCTTTAACATGAGATGGACGAGTCCCATTGCTAGGATTTCGGAGCGATGTGTATGGGTACATATACTGCAGGTGTGGTATTCAATATACCCGGCTGAATATTTTTGCATGGAAGTTAGCTTAAAGCATGAAATGAAAATGACCATTTTCTGGGCATACTAGAATTCACAAGAATCATATTTCTAAACTCTCCCATTCTCTCATTGCCTAGGATACAGGATTGGTATTTATTCCGTCTTCCTACAATCACCCTCAACGGGCACTCCAATACACTTGCACATAAGGAATAATTACATATACCATCTCTCAACCGTCACCTGCAATTAAAACCATTTCTCATTACAAGGCTGCATTGCTAAGACAATGAATCATTCCATTGATTAACTCACGACTTCACAGAAAGCATCCATTACGGTTCCTGTTAATTACAAAACAGCACCTCATTCCAGCACACCAGATTATTCAATAAGGAGAAGGGAAGAGTGGAGGAAGACACGACAACCGGCTAGATGATATCATTCAGCGAGCTCACATGGGTAAACCGATACGTTGTTGGCTGATATGGAATGATGCACTTTAACGAATTATGGGACTTTAAAAAATTTACTGTTAAAGTGGGGTTACCCCTACACTGCGAGGGGTTAATTGCTTGCTTTGTCTGTGGGGCTTAGAAGGAAGAACATATTTGCCTAATCATCAGTTCCACTAGGCTGCTAGACTGGTCCCTGCAGTCTCTCCTCCCCTGGGCTCCGGCGGTCCAAGGACAACTGACATGATCACGCCTTATGCAGATCCATTGACTTGCATTACACGTGAGGAAACAGAGGGACTTTTTACAGCCGACAAGGAGGGGGAGAGAGCTCAGTGCTGACCACCGTGGGACTACGGATCAGGTGAGAGTAGCTGATGTTTTATTTGAGCCCCCTAGACAAAATGAGCACTTAACCCTTGCAGTGCAGGGGTAGCTCCACTGCAAGGGTACGTTTTTTTTACATTCCAGGAATTTTTTTTGTTAAAGCCTTGCAATGGAGCTGCCCCCACACTGCAAGGGTTAACTGCTGGTTTTTGTAAAGGGGACCTGTGTATAGCAATCTTACTTACCTGATCCATGCCCCTGAAGGCTCCAAGACTGGTGCCTGCAGCTTGCTCCTCCCTCCACCCCATAGTCCTGCATTATACAGGTGAAACTCGAATTAGAATATAGTGCAAAAGTAATTGCAGTAATTGCTGCAAAAGGGACCCAAACCAAGTACTGAGTACATATGCATGCTTGTACTTTTCAGAGGTCCGATATTGTTCTATGTACAATCCTTGTTTTATTGATTGCATGTAATAATCTACTTTTTTGAGGTTGTGGATTTGGGGTTCTTGGGGTTTTCATGAGCTGTAAGCCATAATCATCACAATTATGACAAATCACGGCTTGAATTATCTTGCTTTGCATGTAATGAGTCTATCTCATATATTAGTTTCACCTTTTAAGTTGCATTAGTGAAATAAATGAACTTTGCACGATATTCTAATTATTCGAGTTTCACCTGTATATGAGGATGCAGAGAGACTGTCCACAATCCAGAGAGGAGCAGAGAGGGAGGCGAGTGGAGATCAGGGAAGTAAAAGACCTTTAAACAATACCCCTAGATGTAAATTAAGTTAACCCTTACAGTATGGGGGTGGGAGTAGTTTCCCCTTGCTGAGATAAGCTTTAAACTTTAGCTTTGATCTTATTAAATGAGTCTAATTCTCACTTTCCACATTTGAGCTGAGGGTCACCTGTGCAGCCAACATAAAGCTGAACTCTACAATAATCTTTTTCCCTAAAGTTTTCTTCCCCATTTACAATTACAGCACCCAAAAAATATTCTCCCTTCTCTGCAGAGAAAAACATTTTCTAGGTGGCCGTGATGTCACAGGTTGTCCCTGTGCAGCCATGTCTGGGTGGTGGGAGGAAGGATCTATGTGGTGTCCTGAGTCATATCATCGGATATAGGCACGTCTCACACAACTACATATCCCATGATTCCTAAATAATGTAGTAAGCAGTTTCGTGGTTTGAATATGTGTTTGTTATGTGATTTGCATGACAGATGAGGAGGGGAAATCACATCCACCAATTCCTCTCCCGGGATGAACTACAATCTCATGTTTAGTTTATTAGTTTGTATTGAGATTGTAGTCCATCACAGGAGTGAGCTTGGAGTGGTGACTACTTTACAAACACACACAGGGCCCATGGGGAACAAAAGCAGCCCCCCTACAGAAGGAAGGACAGTGTCAGCACCAATTCAGAGATGATTGGAGGATCTACAGCCGAGTGATACACAAATAAGATACATTTTTGTTAATAGTTAAGGTTCTTGGATGTATTTTTAAGATTTATTCCAAGTTTAGTGACATAGACTGTCACAGGGAACATCATGTTGAATTGCAACAACTCAGCAAGCTGGATTTGGTCAAATTAAATGAAATAATATTTAAATCACATGTATTGTACAATCAAACTGTAAAACCCTGTCCTTTCTTTCCGCAGTATAAAACCGCCGGTCAACTTGAGGTTTTCCCCGGTGCCGCCCCATGGTGAAATACATCTCTTCGGGGTATATTTTGTAAGAGGTAATGTGGTCACTTGGCAGTGTATCAAAGATGAAGCATGCAGCATATCGGTGTAGTGCTGTGCACAGGCTCACTGATGTCGATGGGTTTCATCCCCTGTGATTTTTTTTAACTTGCGTTGAAATGAAATGTTCACCTGCCTCTTGAGGATTGGCCTAGATGTGGCAGTGCCTAGATGTGGCATGGGCAGTTCTGCCACGGGGGATGTGAATCACCTAGATGACGAAACTACTTCCCCTAATGGAGTCGCTCCCTAGCTGACCTGGGACATTGCAGAATCTCACTCTCTAGCTAGCCAGCAGTGAGGTAGGAAAGGGTAAGTGGCCTCTTTGTGAGCCTGTCGCAGTTACAGTATTGCTTGCCTAACATCAGCCGGAAAGCTCACCTGAAGTCATACAGTTGCCATCATGTCAAATGTCTGAGCATACATACATACAGCGTCTTCCAATGTCAGGCAGCTGACTGCGCTGCAACTGTCAGACTTCAGCTGACCTGGGAACATTGATCCTCCAGGTAAAGGATCAGGCTCAGATAACCTAAGTAAGCCAAGGAGGCAAAACGTTATTATTACATAAGGGCAATTATGATCATCCGAGACTTCAAAGCCATGTACAAACTACCTATGGTAACTAATTCACCTCCAGGGTAAGATGTGCTCTCTGCATCCGGATAACAGGCCAGCTTCTACAACGGCCAGCAATAAACAATTAATTCTCAGAATGTATCCATTCCAGCGCGCTGAAGAGCTAAGATGCATTCAGTGGACTCGTATCAGCCAGCGTGGAATGCCGGCTACATTGCTAACCCAATATGACACACAGTGCGCACGGGCTCCCTTCATGTATGCAAAACTACTCATCACATCATTAGATTTACAGTTGTAAAAAATGTAACAAAAAAAAATATATATTTTTGTTTTTTCTCATTTACTAAATATGCAAAGCAATGAAGGAACCAGGTAGCTGATTCAAAGCACACAGCATCCACAGAGTACTGTGCCCCCCTCCCATCAACCTAACACAGTACGTGCCCCGGGTATTGTGCTTACCTCTTCCAGCACGTTAATGGAGTTCCTGCAGCTCTGCAGTCTGGTGGTGAAGCTGGACGTGGTCGGGGAATTGTAATCCTCTGTAGTCTCGGAAATAAACTCTGACACCGAGATTTGATCCGGCATCCTGGCCATGGGGACACAAAAAAACACAAGCAGATGAGGAAATGAGGGGAGAGAGGCAGAGTGAGAGAGAAGGGCTCGGGGAGGGGGCGGGGAGGCAGCAAGCACTCGACAACATACTGTACACAGCAAAATCTGGGAACAGGGGAGGGAGGACAAAACCCAGCACAGACAATGACTGAAAACAAAACGCTCCTTCTTTATTAAATGGCTGAGATGGGAAGAAAAGAAAAGCATCCTTTTTTTTTCTTTCTTTCTTTTACTTGACAGTAAAGATGGCAACAGCAGCGAATACAATGTGAACACAAAAGCTGAAATTGCACAACAGAGCAAACTGCAACAAAAAGCCCACAACTTACAAAAGGCCCAATGACTGCATTCAATGCCCCCCACCCCTTCCCAATCAGAAGGAAATCGTTCGCTATCGTTAAACGCATTTGGCGATCTGCGCACTGGTTTTTGTTTTTTTTTCTGGTGAGGCTGCTGAGCTCGATGTATACAGGGATCTCACGTACGCCGGTTGGTTGGACTGCGGAGAAGGATGTGATTATTAAAGTTTGCATAACAAGAGCAGTGCGATGAATAATGGAAGTGGACGCTGAGCATAACCATATGTGCACCTCAAATATGTCATCATGACAGCAGCAGATAGGCGGCAGAGGGAACACAAATACCAGATTTAATGGGACCCTGTTGTTGGGGAAAGATGCTGGCTGCCATTGCCGAGATCCCTCTGGTTGCCTGGGACGAGCACTTGACCCTTGCAGTGGGGCCACCCCCTCG